CTCAAAAAATAATTAATTGAGAATTAATTATTATTTAAATAATATGATTATTTAAATTTGAATTTGAATCATGAACATAATTTAAATTTATCATTTTAAACTTATTTGATAAGTTGTTCAATTTAGAATTCAAATTAATTTAAGTTTGACTTAAATTTGAATTTGAATTTGAATTAAAATTGGACTACAGGATAAAAGATGATTTTCTCTTCCTTCCCTATCTGAGATTGGCGCCACACACAGGGATAAAAAAACCCTAGCATGGCCGGCCACATAGAGATAAGGTAGAGGAGAATTTTTGTTCAAAATTCAAATAGGAGAGAGAGATTTGTTTCCTTCTAGAAGTTGGACTTCTACTCTATAAATAAGATATGATGAAAAATTGCGCGTGACAATTTTTTAACCTACTTTAAAAAGGGGCTGGCCGAATTCCCAAAGATAGAGAGAAGGAAAAAAAAATTTCTTCCAAAAATTCCACATCGTGCATGCGTTGGTGTTTGTGGAAAATTCGAGTGTTTGATCTAACTCGTTTTAGTCTTGAGTGTGCCCACACACACGTCTACGTAGATTCAAGGAATTGACGTGGAAGACTTTGGTTTTCTAAACACAAGGCTTTGGAGCAAGGATCGTTCGTGGTCAAAAAACTCAAGCTATCATCTGAGTCGGCCTCCAGGTATTTTTTATAATTGAGTTCTTGATATATAAATTAATGTGATTAATTTATTCGTGCATAAATTAATATAATCTATAGAGTATCTCAAAAGTTTAATGAAAATTTTTGTTATACTTGATCCGCCCTCCACCACGCTTCCGCATCCGAATTCGATTCGGTTACCAACACATGACCCATCTGAGAAGGGTATTATTGTATAGAGATCAGATGAGATCAATAAGAGTAAACTTTTATAATACTTTTCTACAATTTTTCTCTTCTCTTTGTAAGGCTTAACAAGCACCCGAGAATCACAAATAAAATGTGAGTTTCCTTTAGCCAAGATGAGCTTCACAGTCTCTGGATACACAAAGGTAACAAACCCAAATATTCGCTTTTGCTGATATGAGATTCTCACATCTTGAACAGGTTCATAAATGCTTCAATCCAGAATTAACATCCTCGGACGTCCCAAAATACACGCTTGTCTGAGAGAATAGTTCTTTAATGAGATTTTCACTTGTAGAATTTTATAAAGAAGACTCAGAATTGTTGCTGATGTTGTTGTTCAAAACACTGGCGCAAGAAAGCAGAGGACATGGAAATGGGTTGGGCCTGGAAATGAGGTTGAAAGTAGAATAAGAAAATGATGATGATAATGATGATTTAGGGAGAATAGCCAAGTGGGGTTTTTCAATAAAAATGAAGAATTATTGATCAATTGCAAGTTGAAACCAAAAAACTTATATTAGAGAGTATTTTGGAGAGCATTTTTTTTTTTTTTTGAGAGCAAATGTACATATGAGATGAGAGAGTGAGAAGAAGAAGAAAGAAAGAGAAAACATTTGGTTTTTTTTATTATCTTTTCTTTTGGTAATATTATCTTTTTAACATTTATGATTATTTAATTAGGATAGTATAAGCGTAATTGCGCTTTCAATTCTTACTAAATAAGTGACACATGATAATTTCGTCACTCATTATAACAGAAGGATAAAACTTGTTAACAGAACAAAATTTAGTTTTTTAAAATTTAAAAAATAAAGTATTAAAATGATCATAGTTAGAAATTTTTTTAAAATTAATCTTTTTCCTTTTCATAGAAACTACAAACGTATCTGTGCAGTAAATAGAAGAGTACTCTTTTTTTTTTTTTAAAGAATATTTTAAATAATTAAGATGTTCTTTAATCATTTAAGAATAAAAAGCACACTACTCTTATATTAGTAGCGCTTGGAGATTTTTTGACTTTTGAGTATTTAATCTAACCAAATTAAACTAGTTAAAAGAATCAAATGAATATTTCAGAGAAACAAAATTTCATTTGGCCAGATTTTGGATCTGATATATTATTATTTAGGAGAAGTCCGATTAAATTGTTGAGTAATAAGTGATCCCTTTTATTTTATTTTATTTTTTGGGAAAAGAATGTTTATTGCACTTGTCTACGCCTGTGGGAGCAGATCAAGTCTGTTGACAACACAACACGTGTAGTATCGCGCTTTGTTGAATTGTGTCTTCCCGTATCTAAGAAAATATTTTAAAAATATCCCATTTTCTGAGCAATATATACTTTCTCACTATTTACTATGGCCGCTTTTAAAAATATCCCATTTTCTGAGCAATATATACTTTCTCACTATTTACTTTCTCAATATTTTAAAGATTTGCTTTTGACGGTTTATATTTAAAGATAAAATTTTCGGGCTCTCTGGTCAAGCACAGGAGTGTGCTAAATGCATAGATCAGAAGAAAATAATAATAAAAAAAAATGTGAAAGAAAGACTAATAACGCGGAAAAATAATATGAAAGGCACAATAAGAGTTGGGTCTGTATTCGAAAAAGGGGATTCGAAACAAGAAATGACGAATTGTCGCCGGAAATCATGAACGTTATTCAGGATAGGGACTGAGAAAAATTATGTTCTGAGCCTGTAGCGGGGTCTACTACTCTCGTTCGTGAATTTTTCGCGAACGCAAGAAAGTGTACCAAGAACAAGACCAAGGTGAGAGGGCATGTGATTAAATTTGATGCCGAGACAATTAACAATCACTTTGGCATCCCCGCCCCCAGTTCTGATCGGTAACAAGACTCTCTGAACTGAGATCCGCAGAAAATTCTGGAAGCCCTTTGTGACGGGCCTACGAGATGGACAATAAAGTAAAACACTGAATCTGTCTTTGAGCCTCAATTTCTGACGAATTACACCAATATATAGTTTTATTTTATATACACTAGGCTTATTCTTTTGACTCACATTTAAGAGGTTATAAAAGAAATGGCCTTTGTCAAAGTTGAAAATAAAAAGGCGTAAGAGGCAGAGGAACGGGAAACACATGTCGTTTTTGGTCATGGACTTATTTAAGCTTTCATAGATTTTTTTGACTTGGTTTTTTATTTTTTTTATTTTTATAATAATTTTATGCAATATAGTATTATACCACGTCCTTTCAAACTCAAGCGTCACTCCATTCTACGCCGCCATGCTATTTCACTTGGTAGTCATTTGTTAATTTTTTTCCTAAAAAACAAAAAAAGGAATATCTCTTCTATTATTTATAAGGAGAATTTTGCAGTGAGAAAAAAAGTATCAAGTTTTGAATAGTTAATTATTTTTTTTCAAATTCACAAAATTACAGTGCTTTTTACGACAAAATATCCTCAATGGTAGTATATTATAATTTGAACGTTTTATTTGTCCTATCAAAATCACATAAAAAAAGTATACAAAACCTACATATACTGATATATATCCGTATATTCTGCCTATAGAAATCTCTATAGAATTACCTGAATTTTTTTTCTTCTTCTCAAATTTCTATTAGAAATTATTTGTTATGTATATATATATTTTTTATTATAAAGATGTGATTTGGTTAAATCTCACAGTTAAAAATATACACTATCAATATAAGTCTTTACATAAAAAGACCTATTTTACATAAACTATTCGAAAATTCTCATTAATTAAATTATTAATTTCATTAAAAAAACATTTAATACGTGTAAAACTCATATGTGAATGTCTATATTAAAAATTTATAATACATTACCAGTATGCCATAATAATAAATCAGGCTATTAAAAAAAAGAGAGCTTACAGAAATAATAACCTTAATCCACACGTAATATAACAATATATTGGGCAGCGAATTCTCACCCCAATCCCAAATAATTAATATTTGATTATTCCTTGTCTGTCTTGGAGATTGTAATTAATAAAACGACAACAATATCTGTCTCATGTCTGGATTCTGGACCTCCCACACTCACTCTCACAGTGCAGACTGTTGAGCTCAACGCGCTTACCGCGTTTTCCATAAATAGACACCACCATTTTCCTCTCTCTCTCTCTCTCTCTCTATATATATATATATATATGTATATCTCTTTCTCTCTCATCAATCTGAGCTGAGTGTGGAGCTCCACAGTTACAGAGAGTAGAGAGTGGCAGCAGAGGACATGATGATGAAGCTCCTTCTGCTCTGCTTCTTGTTGGTGTTGTTGAGCAATACGACGCCGACTTCGGCAGGCAATGTCACCTACGATCGCCGCTCTCTCTTAGTCAATGGCGGACGGAAGCTCATCATCTCCGCCGCCATTCACTACCCCCGCAGCGTTCCCGCGGTAATTCTTGTTTGGACCCCGAGAATGTGGAGGGAAATTAGAAAAGGAAAATTGAGACGAAAAGACGAATTTCCGTTCATTAATGCCTTTATGTTGGTGTCATTTTATTTTTTACATTTCCTGTTGATCAATGCCGAGAATCAAAAAGAAAATTTCCTGTTGATTAATGCCTTTTTGACATTGGCATTATTATTATTTTTTTCGTTTTCTGTTGATTAATGCCGAGAATCAAAGAGAAAATCTTCTGTTGATTAATGCCCTTTTGACATTGTCATTAATTTTTCTTTTCGTTTTCTGTTGATTAATGCCGATAATCAAAGAGAAAATCTTCTGTTGATTAATGCCTTTTTTTGACATTGTTTTCTTTTTTTTTGGTAGATGTGGCCGGGGCTTGTTCAAACTGCGAAGGAAGGAGGTTGTGATACGATTGAGACCTATGTCTTTTGGAATGGTCATGAACCTACTCAGGGCAATGTGAGTTAAAAAAAAAAAAAAAAAAAAAACTGAACTTTTACTCTTTACATATTTCGATTTGAAACGATTTATGGAAATGATTCTAATCGTTTTGGTTATTATAGTATTACTTTGGTGGACGATATGATCTGGTCAAGTTTGTGAAGATTGTTCAGCAGGCCGGTATGTATCTGATTCTTCGGATCGGGCCCTTCGTCGCTGCCGAATGGAATTTCGGGTATGTCACATTGTATTCCAGATCTTTATCTCAGTTCCTAGTAAAGAATTACCAATAATAGTGATCTGTTGGAAGTATTAGAATGGGTGAATTAGAGGAATACCACTTTTCGAGAGTTGGTATTCACATATACCAATTCTGCAGAAAGATTTCAGCTTAATTTGTACGCATAAAAGTAGTACAGGTGAATAATAACTCTTAGTAAGTTGTACTGAGTCTAATTTACATGATTTGGTTGTGTGTGTAAAACAGTGGGATACCTGTTTGGCTGCATTATGTGAATGGTACTGTATTCAGGACTGACAATGAGCCCTTTAAGGTATGGATTTTGAGTATCAAGACAAGGCCTTCATTAAAGTGTTCTCCTTTTGGAATGAAACTTTTATCTTTTATCTTCTAATAATTGACTTCTAATTATTGTTGGTGGGCAGTACCATATGCAGAAGTTCACCACATTTATTGTCAACTTAATGAAGCAGGAGAAGCTCTTTGCGCCTCAGGGAGGTCCTATTATCTTGACCCAGGCAAGTATATTTTCGATAGGGAAGTAGTTTGAGGATAATGAAACCAGTTTTCTTTCTAAGACATGTAATGTAGTGTCCAAAAGTGAAGCACATTCATAAACTTCTGAAGGGTTCCAAGTGGATAGCTAGTTGTGGTGCTGTGGACACTTGTGGGAGACTAAAAAGATCGGACTATGAAGATTTCCTTAAATGATAGCTTAAAGATTGTTTGTTGACATTTTGTATCTGAGTTTAGGCAGTCCGAACTGAAATAAGAAACCCTAACATAAAGGCAACCTGAAGTAAAAGAGAATCATCAACTGCTACAGAAAGCGTAGACAAGAATATTTTGTGTGTGTGTGTGTGAAGTGTGAATAGTATAATCTATCTGTAAAGGATATCGATTTTGGAACTAGTTTGAATCCAAAATTTTCTTATGCTGGAGGGTGAGGGGAAAATATGAGAGAAGAAAGCCTACTACTGCCCTCTCCTTCTCTCTCCCCCAAAAAGTTGACAACTTTTGTGATATTAAATGCTAGAAATTCTAGTTCTTTTGATGGAAAAGACCCCGAAGATGTTAGAATGGGAAGCCAACATATCATCTAAATCCTTTCAACTTTCTTGTTAACCCTTTTGTCTGTAGTAGTTAGTCTATGCCTTTGCAGTTGATTATGTGTAGGTTTTAGGTATGAATTAGCCAAAGCAAAAGGCTTTTCAGCTTGTCTTTCAACATTTTAAGGTTGTTATATGCGCAATGCTCCTTGTATTGCAGATAGAAAATGAATATGGGTACTATGAAGGTGCTTATGGAGATGCAGGGAAAAGGTATGCCATGTGGGCTGCTAGCATGGCTGTCTCTCAGAATATAGGCGTCCCTTGGATAATGTGCCAACAATTTGATGCTCCTGAAACTGTGGTAAGGTTTTTGGCTTAATATATTTCAATAACCAATCAGTGACTAAGACTTTATTTATCATTCATAAAGTAGATAGTGCAAGCATTCTTTATACTTCTTAACTACAGGTCACAGGTCATGTATTTGAAACAAGAGAAACAGAGAGAAGAATAATTCTTGCTTCATAATTCTCATTGACCTTGTCAGAATATATACACTTAGTAAGCCATTGGTCACGGCAATTAAGAGAGAAAGTTAAGGAAAGAATCCCTAAATTACGCTAGACAATCCTACAATATCTTCCTAATTTATACTTTCTTATTTTGACTAAATCATACAATAAACAGAAAGAATAAATATTTACACATAATTGACAAAATCTCCAACACTCCCCCTCAAGCTTAGGAATAGATATTTCTCATTCCAAGCTTGTAGAGAAAACTTTCCTGACTAGGCTTTGGTAGACTCTTGGTTAGGATATCTGCTTCTTGTGCATGGGTTGAGATGTAGGACAACTCAATACCTCCTTCTTCAATTTCGTTCTTGATGAAGCTTTGATCAATCCTGACATGTTTCATCCGATCATGTTGAATCGGATTGTTCACAATGCTAATTGCAGATTTGCTATCACTATATACCTTGGTGGGAGAGCAAACTGTGATTTGCAAGTCTTGCATTAATCTTTCCAGCCATATAACCTCACAAATTCCCTGTGCGATTGCCCGAAATTCTGCCTCAGCACTACTCCTTGCCACAACCGTTTGTTTCTTACTTCTCCATGTAACCAAATTACCCCATAGCTTGGTGCAATATCCCGAAGTTGACTTACAATCTTCACTTCCAGCCCAGTCCGCATCAACATACCCTTCGATATTTCTGTTCTCATTTTTCAGAAACATCAATCCTCTTCCTGGAGTACCCTTGAGATATCTCAAGATATGGTTCACAGCCTCTAGGTGTCTCTGAGTAGGTGAGTGCATGTACTGGCTTACTACACTTACAGCGTGAGCAATGTCAGGCCGTGTGAGAGACAAATAGATCAACCTACCAACCAGCCGTTGATATCTTCCTATATCCACAGAAGGCACATCATCTTTAATCTTGCTCTTCCAATTTTTTTCAAGTGGAGTTCCCACCGGTTTGCACCCCAGTTTCCCGGTTTCTTCTAGTAGGTCAAGAGTGTATTTCCTTTGAGAAATGAAGATACCCTCTTTACTTCTAGCAACTTCCATACCGAGAAAGTACTTCAGGGGTCCCAAGTCTTTAACTTCAAACTCTTCCTTCAATTGGTTCTTGAGGTTGTGAATCTCAACAGTATCATCACCTGTGAGTATGATATCATCAACATACACAATAAGAATGGCCCTTTTTTCACCTTCTCCTCTTTTAATGAAGATAGTGTGATCAGCCTTCCCTTGAGTATATCCCAGTCGAGTGAGAGAAGAACTGAACCTGGTAAACCATGCACGTGGAGATTGTTTCAAACCATACAATGACTTCTTCAGTTTGCAAACTTTTCCTTGTTCCTCTTCTGACTCGAATCCAGGTGGGATCTTCATATACACTTCTTCATCAAGATTGCCATTCAAAAAAGCGTTCTTCACATCAAGTTGGTGTAGTTCCCAGTCCAGATTGGCTGCAAGAGACAAAAGAACCCGGATAGAGTTGAGTTTGGCCACAGGAGCAAACGTTTCTTCATAATCAATCCCATATGTTTGTGTGAAGCCTTGAGCTACTAATCGAGCCTTATACCTCTCTACTTCTCCATTTGCTTTATATTTCACTGTGAAGACCCATTTGCTTCCAACTACTTTCTTATCCTTTGGTAAGTCAACTACTTCCCAAGTCTCATTATCGTGCAATGCTCTCATTTCCTCCTGCACGGCTTTCTCCCACTTTGGATCTTTAATGGCTTCATGGATATTTTTGGGAATTCTCTCATTATCGATCTTCGCTATAAAAGCCTTAAACCCAGAAGACAACTTTGTGCAGGTTAGAAAATTGTAGATAGGGTGCTTTGTGCATGTTCTTACCCCTTTCCGTATTGCAATTGGCACGTTCAAGTCACTGCTTTCACCAGGATCCGATTCTTGGTTCAATGATTGGACTTGTTGAGAAGCTTTTGGCCTTCTAGAATAAACCTGAAATGGTCTCTCAGAGATGGGTTGCTGCACCATCTCTTGATCATGACTCGAACTAGGATTAGGGACAGGAATTGGACTCGAGTTTTCTGGTGGTGAACTAGAGGCTGAACTAGAGGCCTCTTGTGACACATCTTGTAATATTGGAAGAGATACAGTGGGATCCCAATGCTCGTTTTCATTGGCATTCTCCCCCTGGAAACGAGTGGTGGGATAGAATGGTTGATCCTCAAAGAAAGTTACATCACACGAGACAAAAAATTTCTTGAGAAAGGGAGAATAACATTTGTAGCCTTTTTGGGTTGGAGAATATCCGACAAAGACACATTTAAAAGCCCTGGGATCAAGCTTACTCCTATTTGGTTGTTTGTTATGGACAAATACAGTGCATCCGAACACTCTTGGGGACAAAGAATTGAAAAGATTCACATTTGGAAAATGATCAAGAAGGACACTTAGAGGAGTTCGGAATTGAAGTGTTTTTGAAGGTAGTCGATTAATCAAATATGTGGAAGTGAGGATTGCCTCCCCCCAGTAGGAATTCGGGACTAAACTAGTAAACATGATCGATCGAGCAACCTCCAACAAGTGACGATTCTTTCTTTCCGCAACCCCATTTTGTTTAGGTGTATCAACACATGAACTCTGATGATATATCCCATTATCCCCCAAATATTGGCCAAACTCATTTGAAAAATACTCCCCCCCATTATCTGTTCGAAGAACTTGGATATTGGATTGGAAAACATTTTGGACAAACTTTTGGAACTGTTTAAACCAGTAAAATGCCTCAGATTTATCTTTCATCAAGTATATCCAACAAACCCTAGTATGATCATCTATGAAAGTGATAAACCACTGGGTTTTAGTTAAATTAACTGTCCTAGACGGACCCCAGATATCACTATGAATCAACTGAAATGGTCTAGAGGGTTTGTATGTATGAGGTGAATATTTTACTCTGGTTTGTTTGGCAAGGACACACTGTTCACAATGAAACAAAACTTTCTCTTTATTGATAAAAAGATTTGGATACAAGACTTTCATATAAGAAAAACTTGGATGTCCTAAGCGTTGATGCCATAACATAATATCAGAATTAGACATAACTGACATGGACATTTTATTTTGTGACTCGGCTCTACTGGAATTCCTGGCTCCTAAGAGGTAGTATAGGCCATCTTTCTTCTCAGCAATGCCAATCATCTTCCCCGAAGAACGGTCCTGAAATTCACAGTGAGAGGAGAAAAAAGTCACAACACAATTAAGATCGTTTGTTAATTTACTAACTGACAAAAGATTATATGTCAATTTGGGCACATGTAAAACCGATTTCAATGTCATATTCGGTAAACAAACCAAGCCCCTTCCAACCGCAGGTGACATTTTTCCATCAGCAACCCAGACATTAATTAGGTTATTGCACCTGTCATATTGCTCAAAAAACTCCATTGACCCGGTCATATGGTCAGAAGCCCCTGTATCCACAATCCAACAGTCTGCTTGCAGAGATTTTGACAGGAATGCTTGACTCATTATACCTGTTTGTGCCATAGCTGCAGTGGGAGGTTTTGAAGTCTGATTTGCGGATCCTGTTGAAACCTGAGTTTGGTTGAGAAGCTGCCGTAGCATCTCCACTTGCTCTGTTGAGAGATTAAAACCAGCAGCCCTGTCCGATTCTGTCTCCTCCCTGCGGGTTGATTTCGCCTCCACTATGTGGGCTGAACTTGATTGCCCACGTTGCTTCCTTGGTTTCCAATCTGGTGGCTTGCCATGTAAATCCCAGCAAGTTTCACGAGTGTGATAGGGCTTGTTACAATAATCACACCAGACCTTGTCCTTTGATTGAGAGCCACGGCTGCCATCTTGTTTGTATTGAAACCCACGACTGCCATCTTGTTTGTTTGCCACAAGTGCAGACCCTCGTGTTTCCAAGGAAGGCATGTCACGACTAGAGGGATTCATCATCACTCGTTTCCTGCTTTCTTCTCTCCTGACTTCAGCAAACGATTCTCGGAGAGTTGGAAATGGTTTCATCCCAAGTAGCCGTCCACGTACTTCATCTAAATCTGGATTCAAGCCCTGCAAAAAATCAAAGGTACGCTCTTTCTCAAGCATTTTTTTGTATTTTTCTGCGTCAGTAGCACACAGCCATCCAATCTCATAAAAGAGATCCATTTCTTGCCATAATTCTAAGAGAGAATTATAATACTCAGTGACAGTAAGACTCCCCTGTATGGTGTTGCGGATTTTTGACCTAATCTCGAAACATTGAGACGTGTTTTCAAGATCGGAATAGATTTCTTGGACTGCCTCCCAAATCTCCTTCGCTGTCTTGTAAAACAGATAAGTTCTTCCAATCTTTGGCTCCATAGAATTAATAAGCCATGCCATGACGATCGAATTTTCTGCCTCCCAAGTGCGGTAGTTTGGTGCTGTGTCCGGTGGTGCTGTGATTGCTCCTGTCAAGTATCCAACCTTCCCTCTTCCTCTGACAACAAGAATGACGGACTGAAACCATTCTCGGAAATTCAGCCCATTAAGCTTGTGCTGTGTGATTTGCAGCGAGTGGCTGTCCAGCGAGTGTGTAGATGAGGCTCCGGATATAGATCTTAGAGATGCTTGATCAATTGCTGTTGAAGACTCCTCTGAGGGCGTATTCGGCTGTTCTTCAGACATTTTTTTTTTTTTCTGTTTTCTTGACTAGTCACCAGTTTCGGTGGCTCTGATACCATGAAACAAGAGAAACAGAGAGAAGAATAATTCTTGCTTCATAATTCTCATTAACCTTGTCAGAATATATACACTTAGTAAGCCATTGGTCACGGCAATTAAGAGAGAAAGTTAAGGAAAGAATCCCTAAATTACGCTAGACAATCCTACAATATCTTCCTAATTTATACTTTCCTATTTTGACTAAATCATACAATAAACAGAAAGAATAAATATTTACACATAATTGACAAAATCTCCAACAGTATTATGCAGATGCAGTTGACAATAACATTTTTTTTAATATGATAACATTTGTTACCATAATGAATTTTGAATTTTCAATACTAATATGTTTGGGAAAATTTTTGATGCCTTCTAATATATCGACCTTCTAAAACAAAATGCTAACTGTCTGGTTCACTTTTGCGTTCGGCATTTGTTTAGTAAAGCTCTTTCAAATCTTAGATACCAAGTCTTCCTATTAAAAGGTGATTTTGGTGAACTCTGGTATTTGTACCATAAAAACCCCTAAGATCACATCAACTCCTCCCAGAATGCAGAAGCTTTTTAATTCAACGATTGTATTTAGTCCTTCTCTCAGTCTCTTGTGAGCCCAAATACAGATATTTCTATATACAAGTGGAGTCCCGTTCTGTAAGGAACCTCAATTTTAGGAGGAGAGTTTTTATGTATATATACACACACATACATGTAATAGTTGTACATCCTCTGTCTCTGTGAAGTTTGTTTTGTGAATGTTAGTTATACAAATAAAGTTATTTCTTATTTGCATTTAAACATCACTAAGGAACTCGTGCATAGATTATAGTAATAATCGACATATGAGTAAAAGTTTTCTTTTTCCTCTTTCTTTGGCAAATTCTCTCTGTTCACAAAAGATGCAGTCTTTTGTGCCGTATGTAACCATACTTGTACTATACGGAATGGCAATATTCAGCTCAAACCATGGTTTTCCTTTTCCTTTTTGCAGATTAATACTTGTAACTCCTTCTACTGCGATCAGTTCACTCCTATTTTCCCCAACAAGCCTAAAATTTGGACTGAGAATTGGCCCGGATGGTAATGTCATATGTGGTCATGCTTTGGAATATTGAATCTAATAATCATTTATGGTTGTAACTGTGACACCAATGCAAGTGTTTGTCAAGTTCGATATTAATTATTCGATGAGTGCCAAGGAGGCATCACCGTAAGTTAGGCCTTTTCAATTAGGTCAGGACTATAAAATTGGATTACAAGCAATTGCACTCCTATCATATGCTATCCGTATAGCTTGGAGACGTATAGTCCAACATTTAGAGACATTCTAGGTGACATTTGTCTTCATTATATAATCTGTGTTTGGAATAGCTTAATTAATAGGAAAAACATGTTTGGCTCCACATCTGTTTTTCTTTAACTTCCAATCTAGATTCTAGAGGTTTTAGTTAGTTTCCAAATGCTGCAAATTAATGAAAGAATGCCAAATTATCATCTAGCTATCTGCATTATCATTTTTTATTACACATCTGAGTAGATTGTGTATTTTATTATCTTTAGGTTTAAAACTTTTGGGGCCCCGGATCCTCACAGGCCAGCTGAAGATGTTGCCTTTTCAGTTGCACGTTTCTTTCAAAAAGGCGGTAGCGTACATAACTACTACATGGTATTTTCCTTGATCTCTTTGGCGCATTTGTGGCAATTCTGTATTTTGCTATTTCTCCTTATTTTTTATTATATACTAATCAACTTCTGTTTGAGGTATTCTACATTTTGCATTGTTGCTGCTGCTGCTGTTATCTTACACCCATATTTTCACCATCATCAACATGGTTGTTTCTTTTACCTTGTGGTTTTAGTATCACGGTGGAACAAATTTTGGTCGCACGTCTGGTGGACCATTCATTACTACAAGTTACGACTACGAAGCACCAATTGATGAATATGGTAAGCAATTTATGTTTCTCATATCATTATGTCGAAGTTTGCAAGATGAAATTCAATTGTCATGTCATACATTGAATGGTTTACGATATCACTTATAGGGTTACCCAGGAACCCAAAATGGGGACACCTTAAGGAACTCCACCAATCTATAAAAGCATGTGAGCATTTTTTGCTCAATGGTGAACCAACTAATATATCGCTGGGTCCTAACCAAGAGGTTTTTTTTTTTTTTTTTTTTTTTTTTTTTTCTTTTTTTTGTCTTATTAACTTTTCTCCTTGATCACTATGGGATTTTTTCCCATAGTTATAATAATAAATAAAAAAACATAAATCATCTCAATGATTAACGTAATTTGAGATTGTTTTCATTTTTCAAGAATTCTTATATTATATTAAATCTGTATGATAGCATTGGTAAAATATACTATCTGTAATAGCTTTGACATACTTCAAACTTGAAGGTTCTGTTTTCATCCTTAAGAATCCTTCGCAATGTAGTAAACATCTGAACGATTACATTGGTAGAATATATTATCTACAATAACCCTGGTGTACTTCAAATTCCAGTCATATTTCGACTGCATTGACCGCATTTTCAAATCTCCTTTGATCAATAAAGTAAATAGGTCTTTTGTTAAGTCATGCTAAAGGAAATTGGAAATTACTATACTGGCATAAGTTGATGTGAGGAGTTACTCTTTTTCTGATATTATCATTACTATAGTAGGAGGAACGTCTTAAGATTACAGAAGCCGTACTAAACTATTCAAACTATGCACCATTCTATGTTTTCTTCAGTTATGATTTTGATATGTACTCTTTAGTTTTATCAGTTTGCATTTGCATGCCTTTCATTTTCTCATGCAAACAGAGAACAATTGCTAACCAGTGACAACATTGTAGGCTGATGTTTACACGGATTCTTCTGGAGCATGTGCTGCCTTTATCTCTAATACAGATGATAAAAATGATAAGACCATAGAATTCCGAAACTCATCGTATCATCTGCCTGCATGGTCTGTTAGCATTTTGCCTGATTGCAAGAACGTAGTTTTCAACACAGCAAAGGTAACTGCTAACTCTTTCTTATCTGCATATTTCCAGACATTATTGTGGAATCCAGTGTTATTGCTGGAAAATACCCTACTTTTGTTTCAATTTTTGTTTTTCTTTTGTCCAAAAAAAAAAAAAATCCTAACAAAAGAAGAGTTTTTAGTTTTTTCTTTTTCCTCCAAGTAGAATAATGTCCATAAAAAATGATATTGTAAATGATCAAGCACATTCTAGTGGTAGTATTATGCTTGTAAAAATATCATACAATATTCAAGAGAGAGTGACCTGAGAACTGAATACCAAATTAGTGATGGTTAGTGAATACCATATTAATAATGTTCAAGGTGTCATGTATTTTGATAATTGTCCATGGTGTTATGTATTTTAATAATTTAGCATGTTATGTGTTTTAATATTGTTCATGGTGTTATGTATTTTTGATAATTGATCTTGTTCTGCATCAAAGAGAATGGTGTCTTGGTTTCGGCAATCTCACAACTGGTGCATTATTTGACATGGTTGTCACATAAAGAATGTTTTGACAGTTGACCAACGATGGTGGTCTTGACTGGGTACAATGTTAGAGAGATTGTCTTTGTAGTACCGTTCGCATCACTGTATTACAATCATCTTTATGGGTTATTCTCGCCTTCTGCATTTTAAGTTTGTCACATATTTATTTTCCCTCCAAGTTACACCCTTTGACATATTTTTTCTACAGGTTGGAACCCAAACCGCTGTAGTCGAAATGGTACCCGGGGAAGACTTGAATACTCTTAAATGGGAGGTGTTTGTGGAGAAAGCTGGGATATGGGATCAAGCTGATTTTGTCAAAAATGGTTTTGTGGATCATATCAATACCACAAAAGATACCACTGACTACCTATGGTATACAACAAGGTTTGTCCTTTCCCTTGATGAAATTATATATGCTTGTCCTTATTTTCTTCCTCATGATTGTGCAACATAAGCCACGGAAGCTGAGTTTAAAAGAATTGTGTCTAAATTTGGTAAACAAAGTATAGTCTAACTCTAAGATTCATGTTTTTTTTTAATGGCAGTATATACGTCGATGAAAATGAAGGTTTTTTAAAGAAAGGAAGCCAACCAGTTCTTCTAGTTGAATCAAAGGGTCATGCTCTCCATGCCTTTGTGAACCAGGAACTTCAAGGTTATTATTAGCTGTTTCTGCCAAGATTCTTCATCAGCATGTCTATTCTCTTGAAGTTTACATAAAAAATCTTATTGATCAGTATGCAAATTTGAATTTGAGGCATAATTACAATTTTTTTTTTTTAATCATAACAGGGTTCATGAATAGAACTAGAAATTGTATTGCACAAAAGCTCCCATTTCCCTAGATATGTTCTGGTTATCCTTGTAGACAAAATCTGCGTGCTTTTCAAATTGAAAAGAAAAAAAGAAGACAGGAAAACCTTGTAAAATATGTACTTTCATTGCAATGTATTTAGTCGTGGTTTGATGCTTATGAACAAGTATAATGCAGAAAAATAAAGAATGCAAGGAAACCTTAATAAGATAAGTTAATACCTAGCTAAGTCTTCTCATATCTGAACACGTAATTGATGTGAGAGTCGATATATGCTCGTTTAGGCATCCCTATATCTTTTCTTGTAGAGGGTTTTTACCGATGATTTGCCAAAGAGTGGCCTGAAAAGGATCCATTCTACCACATCAGCTTTGTTATTATCCTGAAGAATTTAGGGCCTACCAAAATTACTAGACTCTATTCACAATTGTTGCTATTTTTTCTTTTTTTTTCATTAACTCGATGATTTTCAGGAAGTGCATCTGGAAATGGCACACATTCACCTTATAAATTTAAAAAGCCTATATCTCTGAAAGCTGGGAAGAATGAAATTGCTTTACTAAGCATGACAGTTGGCCTTCAGGTATATTTCTCTGTGATTATTTCCTAGTGCCAGTTCTACTGTCTGAAGAATCTTATTGTTTATTTTTTGAGTTGTGACCATGAAACACCGACTTCATCTAGTGCATAAAGAGAAAAATGAAAAATGAAGAAAGAAAAAGAATATATCAAATGTGAGTGGATTTTGACCTCTATCTTTTGGGCATTGGCATTGTTTTTTTAAACGCAATACCAATGTACTGCTGTCATAGGTTCATGCATGTTTGCCACTTTTTTTTAATGTATCTACTGTTGTCTTGTTATTGGTGTCACTCTTAATATTCCTTTGTGTCATTTTGTGGTTGACTGGTTATGCCATTAGAAGCATTCTTATTGGTTTTTCCTTACCTAACAGAAAGTTAATTGTGCATCAATAGGATGTGAGGTACCCAAGCGATAGTTGATTTTGATTTTCCTGAAACTATTCGATGTATCAACTCTACCTCAATATACAGCTTTTGGGAATTTATCTCATTGTTCCATCATTTAGTGGGGGCCAGTTATGGCTTTTCATAATAATAATCTTTTTGTTTCTTATCAAGAAAATATATATTTTCTTACATCCATCCATACTTACATCATGATCCATGGAAAGAAATCTTAAGGCGTTTAATACCTTTTGGCTCCCATTTTCTTGAAATTCTGCATGGAATGTGTTCATGATATTTGTGTTTGCATCCGTAAAATAACTTACTGGCTTTCGTCACGAAAACAGATAGTGCATCTGCCTCCTCTGCCGGTACATATGCTTCACTTTCCCACTAATGCTATGTTTTCAAAGCCCTCATTGCTGCTTTCATGTTATTTATAGAATGCAGGATCATTTTATGAATGGGTTGGAGCAGGACTAACAAACGTTGAAATTTCGGGATTCAACAATGGGACAGTAAATTTGTCTAATTCTACTTGGACGTACAAGGTACTTTCTCCCTTTGCTAAACATTCTACACGTTCTAATGTTTACAAGTGCATAAGTTGATGTTGCACACATTGAGTATATACTTGTCATGATTCTTGTTTTGCATTTCCATCTTTGCTTCTTATAACCTTTTGGCTGCATTTGGTAGTGATTCTTGGAGACCAAAATCAATTCTTTAGCCATCCACAGCTGAAATTTGTGTTTGGTAAAAACCATAAAAAGTGATTCTTAAAGAATTTTTGAAGAATTTACAGCCAAAATTAGAAGCATCCAAAGGCAGCTTTAGCTTTTAAATTGTGCGGCAATCTCCTTGTAATACAATTAATGCTCGTTCTTTTTGAAGCTACGTATTGTGAATGAAGAAATGAAAAAAATATTAATTCTTATAAATTTAATGTTCCCAAACTCAGGAACAAATTGTGTGTATGTGTGTTTTTTTTTTTTTAAGTTAAACAAGTATTTCTTAATAATAAACAAAATTATACATATTTAAATTTCATATCATGTCCATTTTGGTCATTTTAACTATCCACAACAATTAAACCTCACAATTTACCAAATGTTATTACACAGTTTTTTAAACTAGCAACACTAGTATAATTATAGTTACCAAACACTCAATTGCTTTTTTTTTTCAGCACAACTAACAGTAATTTTTCTAAAATCTACAGCACTACCAAACTAGCCCTTCTTGCATATGTAGATCCAGTATCTAGTTTTTGTCTATAAAATTTTTAGGAATCAATTGCAATTATTTTTAACTTTGGGATTAAACCATTTTGGTACCCCCTAATATAATGAAACATCTCGCAGGTACCATATCTTTTTTAAAATTTTAATAACATTAAAAGGGTACCTTTAGGTTTTAGAAAATGGTTTTTTTAGAACCATCTTTTCTATAAGAATTTAGAACCTGCGTTTCTCTTAATATATATCGTCCCTTTTATCTCTTATAACCTTGACGTTTCTATTAAAATATATTGTCCCTTTTATAATTCGTTTTATTACGGGTCAGTTATGATGTATCAAGGTTCTTATAATGAACCCTTAGACGTGACCAACGTTCTCATGATTTTAAAATGATTAAACTGTTTCTTTTTATTTTAACTAATCATGTTTTTCATTATTTTCTTATCCCAGATTGGTTTGCAAGGAGAGCATTTAGGAATATACAAGGAAGATGGTATGACTAAGGTAAACTGGATTGCAACCTCAAGACCACCAAAGAAACAGCCTTTAACATGGTACAAGGTAAACACTATGCAAACAGATGTATTTTGTAATTTTTTTCTTTGTATTACCACTTATTTTTACGCTATTCTTTAAGTAAAAAAAAAAAAAAAAAGAGAGAATAATTTACTAAGATCATTGCAGGCTGTTATAGACCCTCCACCGGGGGATAAACCTGTGGGGCTTGATATGCTTCACATGGGAAAAGGTCTAGCTTGGTTGAACGGAGAAGAAATAGGAAGATACTGGCCTAGGAAGAGCTCTACACTTCAAAAATGTGTTCACGAATGTGATTACAGAGGGAAATTCATGCCTGATAAATGCTTTACAGGATGTGGAGAACCAACTCAAAGATGGTAAATAATGTGTGCGTGCGTGTGTGTTTGTGTGCGTGCGCGCGTGCTACATTTTTGATGATGGTCGTTATGAAAAAATGAATAGCCTACTTGTCAAACGCACTTGCTTGGAAACTGTTCCCATGACCCATAAGAAGTATGAAGTTTCATGTTTTTCTTTGAGAATCCGTGTTTCTCATATAGAGGACGTTTACTGCATTATTGTGACATGGCACTTGTGAGTCTCATATTCGTGGAACTTTACTGAAAAGTACCACATTGATAGCTTTTTTCTTGTGGTGGATTTTTTATTTTTATTTTTTTTATTTTTATTTTTTATTTTTTTTCTGAGCAGGTACCATGTACCGCGGTCTTGGTTCAAGCCATCAGGAAACATTCTGGTGATCTTTGAGGAGAAAGGTGGAGATCCATCAAAAATCACATTCTCGAGACGGAAAACCAATGGCTTATGTGCTCTTGTCGCAGAGGATCACCTGTCTTTCATACCTGAATCTTGGCAGAAAGATGGAAGTGAAAGCAACAGAACTATTAATCCAAGTGTCCACTTGAAATGTCCTGAGAATACCCTCATATCTGCAGTCAAGTTTGCCAGCTTTGGAACTCCCACAGGAAGATGTGGATCATACTCAAAGGGAGAATGCCATGATCCTGATTCTAGTTCACTGATTGAAAAGGTAAAGACAAACCTGAATATGTGTATTGTGCTACTTCAATTCAAAACTTTTTTTTTTTTTTTTTTTTTTTGGCAAATGACTCAGTTTTTTTTCCCTAGCAATTTTGGTTCCTGGCCATAAAATTGACAATGAATTTCTGAAAATTAACAAAGGTAATCACATGTGCATTGCGTGATGACTACATAATTAGTTACATTAAGTACAAAATGTTCTATTCACTGTTGCTAGATTTTGTACTCAATGCAACTGTTTTTGTATATTTTCGGTTATTATAGAATAGGGATGTGATTAGCTTTGTTAAATTTCAGAAATTCATTGTCAATTTTACTGCTAGATACCTAAACTGTCAAGAACACACATTCGGGGAGTAATTTGCCAAAAAAGAAAAGTCCAGGAATCAAAATGACACAACGTTGTTCATCGTTCAGGAACTAACCGCCCTTCCTATTTGTAGTCTGTTTTGGACTTTGACCAGTAGTAATCTATTCCTATTATGAAAAACACGTTAACATAAATCTGCAATGTCTTAAAATACTTGCATTTATTTGTATAGTTCTCACCATTAATGTCGCCAAGATTGAAGTACTTTAATTGAGATAAATACAATAACAATATGCAATAAGTACAATTTACTAAATTGTTCTTTTTTTTTTTTAGTTCTTTTTTGTTCCGTTTTGGCAATTTCCTAATATCTTTCTACTGAATTGCAGATTTGTCTAAATAAAAACAAATGTACCGTAGAGTTGAGTAAAGAAAATTTCAGTAAGAGTTCGTGCCCCGGTGTTAGCAAGAAACTTGCAGTAGAAGCAGTGTGCGGATGAAAGTGTTAATCAGCACCAGGTTTGATAGGAGGAACAAGTATTGTTAGTTTTATTTATGGGATAAAAGAGATAAAAGGCTCTATTTTGTGTTTTTTTTTTTTTAAATATATATTTTCATCTTCCTGTTATAGAAGAATGTAGCAGGAAGCACTGCGCTATGGATGTTTTATTTTTTAGTTATTAATTATAAGATGTAATGCATGCTTTAACTGGCTCTAAGCCAATTATTCAGCAAAAAAAGGAACTATTTATTAGTTCATGTGCATGACAAGAAGACTTCCAAAATGGGAACAGTGTTGTTTAGCTTAAAACAAAGTAACAGAAAGCGCCTGTCCAGCAAAATAGTTTTTTTTCTTTTTTTTTTTTCCAGAAAAAAGAAACAAAGAATAAAAGCAGCTTATAGTTTAATGTAGGATTAATCTCATAAATGGTCTTGAATTCTACTGTTAATCTTACTTACTGTTAATGTCCAATTTGTCAATTTATTTCAGTTTTTAGTGTTTTACTCATTTTCATCAATTTTTAGGGTGCGTTTGGGACAAAGGTTCTAGAACCGGAATCGTGATTTTGGTTCAAACCCTTGTTTATTTGCAAAAAGTAAAAGATAGTTCTTGAAAATCAGTGTTTGATTTGGATGGTTCTGGTTCAAGGTTTGAATCTTAATGTGATGTTTTAAATCGGAACCACCTCAAAAAATAAAACCACCTCCCCTCTTATGGTTCAAACTCCTGGTTCTAATTCCAGTTTTAGAACTAGGGTTTGTACTCTAGTTTAAATCATGAATTATGATTCTGATCCTAGTTTGAATCTTGTACCAAACGTTAAATAACATGTATTGGAATTAATAGTTTGGAATAGGTCCCACCAAAAATTAAAAATTAAAGTTTCTAAAAGGTCAGATTTCTTACTTGGGTAATGAGGGTTGAAGATTCTCCAGCATAGATGACACATTCTAACCAACTTTCTTTGACCTTAAAGTTTGCTAAGAACACATGAAGTTTGAGTTTTTTCCCTTCTCTTGATCTAAAAAACTAAAATTTATGTTGATTCTTCCCGTTTTGGGTTCGTCTATTCAATTGTTTCTGGTTGCTTAGAGATTTTTGGTTTTCTTGGTTGATGGTACAATCCCAGAAGAAAATCGAAATGTTTGGTTAAAAATTACCTTGATTCATCCTTTATATAAGTTACAAATTGTCTCTTTTTAGCTGATTATTGAGATTGTGGAAGTAATTTTTCCTCTTTTGCTCGTTTCGTTTAGATCGTTTTTTTCCTCAATTGAATTCAAATACAACTAGCATGTAATTCTTACTAGTTATATGATAAAAATCTCTTAAAGCATGCAAGTGTCATGGAAACTTCTTTTTTTTTTTTTGGCATTTTTGCCCTTTTTCCAGTTTTTACTTTCTTACTTGTATGTCTTTTATATATTATTTGTCTCTTATGAATTTTTTCTATTCATGTCTATTTTTTGAACTTTTTATTTACTTATTACCTACTCTTTTCTTTTATTTCAAACTTAAGAAATAAAAAACAGTTAATTTTTAATTTCACTTATGCCATTCATCTTTTATACTTAATAACACAATAATCAAAATTTAATAGAAGAATGAAACTTAGAGAATTACCTCAGCACATTGGCCTACTACTAGTATGTTAAAAAATTAGCTGCTTCTCTTTTACCAAAACTCTCATCGTTAGCTAACAGTGTTTGTGGATGGAGCGGTCGGTGAGGGTTTTGATCCTTATGCCACCAGGTTAAGAACTTTGGAGCTTGTTTATCAGTTTCATGGCTAAGAAACCAAGAATTTAGCTCAAAGCTTTGCAATTCTTCAGTTCTTGTGTTCAATTTCAATAGAATAGAAGTGTCGGAGGACAAAGATTGTTATTTATTAGAGCGCAATAATGTAGAAACTAAGAATTCAGATGCTTATTTCAGTTTTTCATATTCTGAAACCAACCCCACTTTTTGTGGAAAATTATGTTCATGTTAAATTATGTGAATGAAAAAAGACATTATGTAATGAAATTTATTATTATTTTGTGTTTACTTTAAGATACTTAAGAATATAACAACAATTCAACACTGCACCGAAATTGTAGACTTACAATCTCTGCTAAACTGATTTGTAATGAATAGTGTCAAAATATGGCGTCATGTAATACAAAAACAGCTCATACAACAATTAGTGGTCTAACTTATTGAGCCTCATTTTTTTTTCGGATATCTTTGGCGCCTGAAGGTATGTAACCAATGTGAAAATTTGCTGCCAATGTGAAATTTTTTTTTTTTTTTTTTTCTGGATTGCCCATCTTATTTTCCACTCAATTCTTCATATCTGCACATGTCTGTATTAAAAATTTATAACGCGCTGCACAGAACTGCTTCCTCTGCAGACCTGACTGTTAAAAAAGTAATCCAACAGTCAAAATAAGGTGTTCCACCGGTAGATATCTTTAAAGGGTCTCACCGTAGAGAGTCTAATAATAATAATGGAAACTTCTCCAGCTTTGCTTTCATTGTTAGGCTCTTCTCTCACTGTTCATAGGTTATATGACGCACATTATGAAGCCTTACAAAGCCCTTGATATTAAATATCGACATGTTAGCCTTCTATGACCCAAACATTGTTCTCTGGAGGCGCACTTTGGTAAAACCAGTGGAAATATTAGGTTTCCATGATCAAATTATGAAGCTTCACAACATCATCTAAGGTCAGCTCTCCCGGTCTTGACTGCAAATATAAATAGGATAATCATAAATGAATGACCAAGAATTTGAAAGCTATAATCAATTACTTCATCAAGCACAAGAAACAATATATGATGATTTATACCGTCGGACGTTCCTGAGAACATTCTCAATCTCAGAGGATGAACGGATATGTTGTAGCGACCTTCGCAACATCTTTCGTTTCCCATTGAAAGCAGAGTTGATCTACATCAGTAAACAAGTAGAGCATGTTAGTAGAAAGAATGTTTAATTTGTAGAACAAAAGATAAAACAAGTGCTTAAGGTGGTCTTAGTTGTGCATATATATATGTTGAATGTTTTAATGTTTGATGATTTTAATGTTAGTTGTGCTTAAGGTGGTCTTAAGATGATTTTAATGTTTGATATTCAAAATACATAGCATGTATGTTGAATAAAAAGCTCTAGCATTTGAGTGAGCATAGGGATTCAATCTCTTGAACAATGAAGCAGTAGTGAAAGTAAAATCTTGGGATTATTTTAGAAGCTGAATTAACATTGAGAAGAAGCTTTTGGTGCTTTTTCCCAAATTCTATCTCTTGAGCTAAACTCCCAACCAACTCCTCCTCCTCCAAATTTATTCCATTTATTGTGCTTTTTCCCAAATTTAAATTCAAACTAGAGCACTTAGAGAAAAGTTTAAGAATGGTAAGCAAATTCCTGATGTTACTCTTGAAGCCTCTAGGAGACATAACGTATCATCTGTAAATTGTAAATGGGTGACTCGGATAAGCTCATTACCAACTATAAAGCCCTTAACCACCTCAACCGCACTTGCCTTATGTTAGGATCCTGATTGAGTCTCACATTGTTAAAGTATGAGCTTAGCATGTGGGTTTATAACCACTTGGGCACCCTCTTTCTACCCAAAGGTTATAACAATTGGTATAAGAGCATGCCCCTCTTCAGGCTCACATTGCGGAAGGGGCGACTTGGGGAGGGGTGACCTGGAAAGGCCAGAGTGGGCCATCCAGAGTGGGCCGCCGTAGACGTCGGTGTCGGAAGCGTGGTGGTATGTTAGGATCCTGGTTGAGTATCACATTGCTAAACTATGGGCTCAGCATGTGGGTTTATAACTACTTAGACACCCTCTCTCTACAAGCTAGCTTTTGGAGATGAGTTCTACCCTAGGGTTATAACACCTTATCGACCAACCTGCTCAATCCATCAACCACTAATGTAAACAAGAAGGGTGATAGCGGATCCCCTTGCCTAAGTCCTCTAGACGCCTCAAACTTTTATGATCGAAAAATTTGCCGATTTAAGGCATCCCATTATCCAATTAGACTACCTAGCTCCAAACCCTTTTCTTTCAAGAACTCTCTAAATTCTCTATTTCTCTCTCTAGTGGCTTCGACTCTATTCTTCTATCTCCATTCTCTTTCTTATATTCATTCTACATCAAATACATAACACTGTTCGGATTTTACTATAATTTTCATGTTCTTTTTTATTTATTCTACAGGTTGAGTCCATTAAGAAGATTGCAGAATATGTAGCTCAACTGAGGTTGGTTGGAAAGTGCCATGGTAAGAATTAGAGTTCACAAATTTTCTTTAACTAGTGCTACATAGGCATATAATGATATGTCCATTTTGGACTCTAAAAGGATAGATTTTTTCTTTGGATTGGCAGGTTTGATCAGCCGACCCCAATTAAGATGGGATTAAGGCCTGTTTGTTTGTAGTTGGCAGGTTTGATCAGGAGCTCCTCCGTGATGAAAAGCAGATTTCTTCTGTAAAAACTTGTATTACTGTTGAGACAAGGTGTTTGGTAATGCATCTTGTACCATATAAAATATAAAACCACTAGACATATATGACCATTTTGGTCGTTTTGATTTGTGGATTCTTGTGAAACTAGACAGTAGAACTTTTTTTTTTTTTTTTTTTTTTTACTGAGATGAACATGTATGAGCTTTTTCTGGATCAATGAAAAACAAGAACAATTTATTATCTATACTCAGATGCTGATATCTACATGACAGTAGAAATTGGTTTCGGATACTTCTTTGCTTCTTCTTTTTTCCACTCTCCGCAGAAATGAGTAACAGAAGCAAATACTAATATATGATTCTGTGTTGTAACGGCACATAAGAAAAGAGTGACGTGAACTCAAGTGGGCTGAAAACAGAATCTCCAATATGAAGATCTATGGCTTCTCCTTTCTGATCTCTTTGGGGTACGCTGAGGACAAGAGTGAATAATCTCCCACATCACACGTATATCCGCATATTCCCCACACGATTCCATGTCCTTGTAAAGACTCACCAGCCCATGCCCATTTCCTGATAGTTATTTTGAAAAGAGAGATTCAGAGAGAGACAGAGACATGAAAATATGGAGATGGAATTTTGAGTTTTCTGAAGCTTTTACCTTTCAATTTTCGTCTCGATGTTGAAGTGAGTTTACCAAGTACAGACTTAGTCGGAACAATAAATTTTTTCTTGAACCATAACCAGGTCCCCCAAGTCTCCATTTTGGAAGGCTTCATTTTCTTCCAACTCCTCCTTCCCTTCATTTTATGTATCCCCTTTTGGTTTAGTCCAAACTTATTAAGACTAATATACTAGAGT